TGGCAGTATTGTTGGCTGTTGGGACAGTGGTGGTTGTTGGGGCAGTAATGTTAGTTGTTGGGGCAGTGGTGGTTGTTGCAATTTCTGCACAAGACAAAACTCTGGTTATTTAATGCATGTAGTCTGTGTAAAACAAGTCTTTCCCACTACCACACAGTGAGACCGTACCTTGACAGGCTCGTCCAGGCCTTTCTGGGTTGTTGTCAATAAATCCATCCAGGCAAACACATGTGTAGGAGGCCCAGGTGTTTGTACATGTAGCCCACTGGGAACAGTCATTTTCCTCTGAAGCACATTCATTAAAATCTGCACAAAGCAAAAGTATTGGACTCAGTAAGTCAGGCTTTATGTTGTTGTAGTATTGTACTGTAGGTTCCTGGCTTGTAGATTGATTCGACCAGACTAGACAATGCATTACATTTTAGTTTGTTGTCTTTTAGGTCCTGGTATGGGTCCAAAAATCCAAAAATGCTGCATCCTACAATTCCCACAATACAATTCGCTAGCATCCTATACCCTAATTGCCTCGTAAATACCTTTGTCTTTCAAACTCGTGCCCCCTGTTTGTAACGAATGCTTTCTGATAAGAATTTGAAGTCTACAAGCTTAAGCTGAGACAACCACAATGACATCATCTGGGTTTTTCTTTCCAGACTTTGGGAAACTCCTATCAGAGCCACAGAAGATATTATTAAACTGTTTTCCCAAGCTGAGTGGTACTAACCTTGAGTAACTAATCCAAACTCTGGTGCTGAAAATTACTTTTAGCATTTCAAGACTATTCTCCGAAGCACTTCCTATTTTTATACCTACCAGCCCTGGTTTCATGAAACCCATTGTTACAAAGGAGAATATAAAGAGACATACCATTTGTGCTTGTGTTGTTTTTATCCACCCTGTATTTGGTGCTGTTCATCAGGGAGTGCAGCAGAGCTGTGGAAACATTACCGATGTCCTGGCTTTGACTGGGGGCGAAGACGATGGTGAAGTTGACCACCACACTCCCCAGGGAAAAGCTTCTGATGTCAATCCTCAACTGGCCGTAATCCACCATGGCCTTCATCTCTGGAGACAGAGACCGGTATATCTGTTGGCGACAAAATAATGACAGATAGGTGGATGAAACAATATAGCAAAAGATCACATTCTGACACTATGCAATCAGTCGGTGAAATGACACTCCTACCTCCTCTTTGATGCTCTCAGTGAGGTTTTCGTAGGCCTGGCTGCTGGTGTTGTGCAGATCAGCAGTGAACTGGATGTTGGTGAGTCGCGCTGTGGCGTCGAGAGTCTGAGCATCTACAATAGAAAAAACTTACTTGGTAGACACATTTTCCACAATTAAATGTCAGCCCTCTTAACAGCCCTGGGCCCAATGCTTAAAGATGTCTTCTCCTATCTTTACTTACTGTATTACTGCCTGGGATAGTAATCAGTGGTTGCATCTAAGTTGTGAGAACCTACCAGTCTTGACCGATATACCGAGGGAGACTCCTTGGCTTCCGCAGGAACATGGCGTGACAGTAACGTTGTAGAGTACCCCTGGCTGCAGGTCCCTGACCTCCACCATGGCCTGGCTGGTCATCCAAGACTGAATGACCTTTGACCTTCTCCTCAGAACAACCTGGTATGTCTGGTTCATCTGAAACCGACTCGACCAGTAGACGCGGAAGGAGGGTCCAGTGACGTTAGCCGACCACACGCTGGTGATGCTGGTATGAGCTGGGAGATAGTGATAGAGGGGGGTTATCATTCATTCATTGTGGAATTATGCTCATTTCATAGCAAGCTAATATTCTCCAAAATGTCAAACGATTCCTATAAATATATCTACATCAGCTAGAGAATGAATTGGATTAAAAGATGTGAAGCGATGACATACAACTCTTAACTAAATGTCTAGAGACCATATCAAATATTTCCTCTCAAAAAGCAACAATTTTGTATTTGGACTCAACAGCCGCTACTTTAGCCTCAAGAAAAAAATGTCAATGTTTCTTACAGCATGCGGTTGTCGGCAGAGGTGGCTCTACAGTTGACGTCATGCTCAGAGGGTCTTCTTTTGTGCTGTTGGAGGCCGGGGTGTAGGGTGTGTTTGTGGGTGTAAGGGAGGTAAGCGGGAGCTCTGTGGTGGTCGTCACCCTGAAGTCAGCTGGGAAGAAACAATAGGAGTTGTCGATGCTGGAGTCAAACCTTCTGATGCAAAATATGAATGTGTCACAGACGAATGTTGATGAGAAACTTAGCAGCGTTTGTTTAGCATGAATGACATCACAGTGCTATAAAAGGAGGCGAGTTTCACCTTCTCTCTAAATACCATAGACTGTATAAAGGAAGTGAACGCATTAATTTAGATGTCACCCATTGATTTGTGGACTATGGTTTTGAAGCCACAAGTTCGGAGTTTTGGCCGTCGCCATCTTGTTTTTTGCAACAAGAAGTGACACCAGAGGGTGGAGCTAAGTACAACTAAACGCTGAATAAGACATTTTTAGGAGACAATTACATTTCATATACGAAAAACCCACTGTGAAAGGGTAAAAGCTACAAGACAAAAAAAAGTTAGCAACCTGTCAATGACAAGGTAGCCCCGCCCTAAAGCATACCCTGCGTTATGGTCTATTTAACTCTAAATGGACCATAATTTACGAAATGAACATCATGCTGTATTGACGAAGATTTGAAACTAGAGATTGAGACCATAAACTCATGTTTACAGTGTTTACTCAGGTAATAAATCAAGAGAGAAGTAGAGTCATTTTCTCATAGACTTCTATACAATCAGACTTCTTTTTGAAACCAGAGGAGTCGCCCCCTGCTGGCCAGTAGAGAGAATGCAGGTTTAAGGCACTTAAGCTTCACTATTCAGACCCTGCTAAGAACCCAGTCTCCAGTGAGACCGTACCTTGACAGGCTCGTCCAGGCCTTTCTGGGTTGTTGTCAATAAATCCATCCAGGCAAACACATGTGTAGGAGGCCCAGGTGTTTGTACATGTAGCCCACTGGGAACAGTCATTTTCCTCTGAAGCACATTCATTAAAATCTGCACAAAGCAAAAGTATTGGACTCAGTAAGTCAGGCTTTATGTTGTTTATTGTACTGTAGGTTCCTGGCTTGTAGATTGATTCGACTTGATAACCAGACCAGACTAGACAATGCATTACATTTTAGTTTGTTGTCTTTTAGGTCCTGGTATGGGTCAAGAACCAAAAATGCTGCATCCTACAATTCCCACAATGCAACTCCCTAGCATCCTACACCCTAATTGCCTCGTAAATACCTTTGTCTTTCAAACTCGTGCCCCCTGAATGAAAAACCCACTGTGAAAGGGTAAAAGCTACAAGACAAAAAAAAGTCAGTGACCTGTCAATCACAAGGTAGCCCCGCCCTAAAGCATACCCTGCTTTATGGTCTATTATTGGACTATAATTTACTAAATGAACATCACGCTGTATTGAAGAAGACTTGTAATTAGAGATTGAGACCATAAACTCATGTTCACGATGTTTACTGAGGTAATGAATCAAGAGAGAAGTAGAGTCATTTTCTCACAGACTTCTATACAATCAGACTTTTTTTAAACCAGAGGAGTCGCCCCCTGCTGGCCAGTAGAGAGACTGCAGGTTTTCGGCACTGAAGCTTCACTATTCAGGCCCTGCTAAGAACCCAGCCTCCAAGTGACGTTTGTGGTGTTGACAAAATGTTGTCACATTAAATCTGACCTCAACTTCCTTGTTCCAGCAGCGTTGAGGAAATACTTTGGCACATGCTGAGGCTTGCACTTCATTTCAAGACCTTGGTTTATTCCCTAAGACAAGACTTGCATTGTCTTATCACCCTGATAACATGAAGTGAAGACCTACATAAACATAAGTTACCCACAAAGAAGCGTGTATCATTCCAGCTCACTCTTTCCTTCTCTATCTTAAAACAAATATGATAATAATTTATTATACATATCTCGTTGCATTTTATAAGATGTTTATCATCATGTTCGTGCTCTGGAGGTGGCATCAAATTAATTGTAGCTAAAAAGCCACGCAACTAAATACTTTGGTGGTGAACGCACACACACACACGCACACACTCACACACAGCCTAACCTGTGCAGTGGGCTCCAGGGTTCCTGGGGTTCACATCAATAAATCCCTGGTGGCATGCACAACGGTAGGAGCCCACTGTGTTGTTACAGTCTGCATGAAGGGAGCACTGACGGAGAGCAGACTGTGCACACTCATTTACATCTGCAACAAGAAACACGGACATATGAGGTTACAAGTACATGTTTCTGTTATTGAATTACAAGATGGAATGTGAAGTACAAGTTGGACTTGATTCCCTTGTCTTCTTGTATTTTTTATTTAAAGGCTAAGTAATTCAGACGTGCCTTGAAAATAATGTAAGTACATTTTCACGCTGGCATAAAGTGATTCATTAAATTAGTGTTTACAGAGTAGAGAAGTAAATTAATTTAAAGAACATTCGGAAGGCGATTTGGTCTGCGTTTGATTGTATGGCACGCTTGTTACTGTGTCTTGTGCAAATGTGAAAGTGTGACTGATTCATGATTAATATCTCTGGGTGTGTGCGTGTGTGTGCGTGTGTGTGCGTGTGTGTGTGCGTGCGTGTCTGTGCTCGCTCTGGTGTTATTTTCCGCTATTGCAGGAAACATCCCACAGATGACTGTCACTCAAACAGAAGTGGTGGGAGAAGGAAACTGTGATGCGACTGAGTCATTCTTTCCTGAACGCCGTGTTCTCTGCAACATGAATCATTCTCAAAGCTGTACAAGAATGTCATTTCTCGAAGGAAAGAAAAGAAAGAGGGAGATGTGACTGCTGCTGCTGCTGCTGCACAAAACAACGTCTCCTCACCTTCCACGCTTACAGATGTCACCTCCTGTATGTGTTTGAGGAGATGGTGCAGCTTTGACGTTACACTGTGCAGTGAAAGAGCAAAGCTGCAGTCAATCAGCAGCGAGGTGGCGGTTCTGTAGGGATGCACGGGCTGTGAGCTGAGGTAATAAACGGAAACATCAGACTGCAGAGCTCCAGTCACCTGTTAGAGATATAATAGAGACACTTTGTTTTAAAGGAAAACCTTCAATGACTCAGAAAGACAAGAGACAAGTGGATGCCCATTTATATTCTCCATGTTTTAATTAACATAATTGCAAATATTGGTTGTTGGCTATATAGCCTTGGCAGCATAGTGATATATCATATAAGCAGCAGAAATATGACAGCTGTAGTAGAAGCAGTAATAGTATTAGCATTTGTATTACCATTGCTTGCAACAATCGCGTGTGATTCAGAATTCCTCTTTCGCTGGAAATCAGTTGCTGGTAATCTGTCTTCACTGTCACTGTTGCATTAAATCGGTATCCTCCATTTTCAGAATAATTTGCCGAGCCTGAAAATTAAGTTAAAAGCGTCAGTACACCCAAGATATATTTGAACACTTAACACCTAGGATGTATAGGGGCCGTATGAAAATGATTGGGGTGAGGCGTTCCCCAGCTTTGTTCAATGAATCCATTGGACCCTCCCCTTGACTTGGAGCGACTAAACAAACTAAGTTCAGGCTGCGTATCTGTGCAGCTACAGGTAAAGCTGAAATAAAATATAAAATCTCGGATGATAACATTTAAAATGACCATACTCCAGTAAATCAGACTCTCCTCTCTTCAACAAAAAGAAAGCACACAAAACCCTCTCTCTTTTTTGCCCCCTATACTCAGCTAGTGGTTTGACAGCAGTCTCTAAATTCAGAAACGTTTGGCTTTATTTGCCCTGTTTTTTTAGATAAAAGCCAAATAAAAAAAACAATCAGCTCAACTAACTTGTAGGATCCGTGCAGAGAAAGCTCCCCGATTGGTGGCAGCATTTCTGCCAGCCTGGACAGTCCATGTCCCACTCGCAGTCCTCAGATCTGGGACACAATCCATCTGCAGTTGGACAGGATCCTGGCTTGGCAGTAAGCTCATCACTCCTGTTTACAGCTTCATTCAAAAGGAAATAACACATTGCAGGCCATATATTAGCAGAAAGATATTTTTCTGTGCTCCCATCTGGTGTCTTGCACACAGCACCACACTCTGAAAGGTTTCTGGTCTGTCTCCGGCGGTCCATGCTTTGCGATATCATCACATGTTATAAACACTTGGACAAAGACGCAGAGCAATTTGTGCGTTACTTTAATGGATATGTGTGGTGTGCAGTACACTCACGCCGGGCGCAGTAACGGCCGACTTGTTCATATCCACTGCAGCATCCGGTCACCTGCTCCATCAATGTCTTGTGCTCAGTCTGATAGGTCGTCCTGTACAGTGTGACCGTACATGTCTTCCAGAGGAGCCAGCCACCGCAAGGCTTTGTCACAGCGTAGGGGACCGTGTGCATCACCAGGAAACTCACATTCCGTGTCTCATTGTGAACACATAGATGGTAGCCAGACTCAGACAGGCTATTCCCTAGAACAAAACATATCTTGTCAATTCAACTGTTGGTTTCCATCATAGCATAAAGACATTTTCAATGCTGCTTGATTTTGACTTACTCTGTGACATTAAACTTTTTTTTTTTCAACAAATGAAAGCAGGCAAAGCATCCTCATAACTAATCCATACATATTGAGTTTCATGTTAAATTCATGTGAAGTCGTCATGTGAGTGGAGGCCTACCTTCATGCACAGTGTTTCGTCCCCTACAGAGAGACAGCAGGGCCGTCGCCACCCAGACGGAGAGCATCCAACTCATTTTCCACAGATCAAAATCCCAACCATGTATCTACCGACCACATTGTGCGTACATGCTCCTCTTTGAGATGATGCTAACTGACTGTTCAGGGTGTACTCAAAGACTAAATTCTCTGTTGCTCTGTCTTCCTCCTCCCCACCCTCCCCATCCCCATCAGTCCCTGATGGACCACATAATCACCACAGCCAGCAGGTAGGTATCGCATTTATGAAAACATTATAGTCACATTTTCCCAGTGTGGTAAAATTACATCAGTTTTTGAAAGAATAATTACAATATTCAGACAATTCGATACCTTGCATTGCCATGACGTATGGCAGCATGACAAGCTGAGGCAAGAGAAAAGCCTTTGGGTCGCATGCTTTTCACAAGGGGAGCTCAGGCCTCACTTTAATCTTTGTAGAATAGATAAGTTGTCAGTTTACTCGTTCTTTGGTGGTGTCAGTAAACATGTTTATTACGCCGGGGTAAGAGATGTGGGATGGGAGAAGTCAGAGTCCCTAATGACTTGGTTTCCACACAGGTAACCATGGCAGTGCTTGCTATGCTGCTGGCACTAACAGCCCGTGTCAGCCATTAATGTCAAGTAAGAAGGAGTGAGAACTTCCCTGCCATGTTCCCACATGTCTTCTTTCTTGTTATAGAAGGAGCAGCGGGATGCTTCCGGCTGCCAAAGATATGTTCTGTAGAAAGACGAGATTCTACAGATCGTCTGTATTCTTTTAAGTCTTTTCATGCATATTTACCTCTTATTTCTTCTAAATGTGGTGAGTGATGTACGACGCTCCTTCTTTAGTAATGAGCTGTGGAATAGTGCTTGATTAAACTTCCGTCAGTCATTAAGTGATAATGCTACATGCTGACGAGGTGGAGCATGTGCATGCAGGGAGGTGCAGGGCTACAGACTGAGTAAATGAAGGTCACTACACACAGTTACAATACAAAATAAACATCAGCAGCTCAATAGAACATGGTTTGAGGGCACATTGCACGTGTTTCACCACCAGTGCCGCACCTGATTGGGTCATGGTACTGTAGCTTTCCGGGAACAGGCCTGTAGGCCAAATAAACATAGCAACAAGTCCCCACTGGATGCCAGTAATGACACAAACTCACTGCTATTCTGTAGTGACTTCCATTCAATCACAGACCTAATTGGTTTCATTGGGGTTAGGGGGATGATTATATCTACCTCTCGCAGTTCAAACCTACCAAAGACAGTCTCTATGTTGTTGGATACATAAAATAGGTATTTTATATATATATATATATATTCATTTTTATTTTTATTTTTTAATGCTAAAATATCAAAAGGTGGGCTCTGGTTGTTTGAAATGTATACACTCGTAAATAGATAAACAACCACCAGCCTCCACCCTTGGCTAGTTTACTGTAACACATGTGATTTAACATCAGGCTAAATGGAGAACCTACTATACTTAATTTAAACCATACTTAAAAATAATTACAGAGCACTGCTCTAGTACACTGTCATTGACAACAAGGACTGTAACTTCAGCGATCAACCTTTGGCCAAAAGAAAAACAAGGCAAGTAACAGAAACTTTGACAGAGCTAATACGAAAAATATGACCTATCCCTTTAAATTAGCTTCAGTGTCATGTCTTCCGTTGGACCCGCCTTCGAGTCCCTTTTCCGGCCTATCAGAGCGCAGTGCACGTGACGAGCTTTCTTTGCGATGACCTCATCCCTGGTGTAGGATGACGTCAAATTCAAGATGGATGGAATCACGACCAGCGCGCAGAAATCTACACAACACTGAATAAAGTCGCGGCTGTGTGGAGGAAAGAGCATATTGACGACGGGCAGGGTAAGTGTAGCTGGACTACCAAACTTAACGTTAGGCTGAATTAGCGCGGACGGTGAAACATAGTTGGTAGAGTGCTGTTAAGGGGAAGCTTTTCCTCCCTGACGTAACTCGAAAGGGGGCTCGTGCTGCTGTAAAACCTGGCCAACTACAACATATTTTGCAGCCAACAACTAACGTTACGCCTTGTCAGGCCGACATTAAACAGTTTGAAAAAATAAAAACAAACACCACTGTCACCGGAGATAGGGTAAGTTCAATTCCCCCCCCCCTCCTCCTCACACTCTAACAGCTTCTCTCTCCGCACCGACTGTGTTTTCATTCCGGGGTTTGCCGCGGTGGAGTCCATTGAAACGCGCTCAACTCCCCCCCCCCCTTGTTGATGTGGTAGAACCGTTAAAGCGAAACAGTCGTATCCTCTGTTCTGACGCCATTTGCCCACACGAAACGAGCGACTCGTGACTATTTTAACTGAACTGGAAGTGGCGTGTCGGTTGGAGAAGTTATGTGTCATGAGGAATTGAGCCACGTCTCACGTTGTGATCTAACGCCGAAAGCCTCACTCCACTCCCTCGTGGGAAACTGACACGGCCGAACATTCGCCGTTGTTCTCTTAACGTGGACCACAAGTTTTGATGGAGAGGCAACCGTGCGGTTGCTATTTTTTGATGAATGGATGAAGCTTCTGCCCAGTGCCCATGAGCCTATTATAGAACGTGTCAACATAAGTGGCATGTCTTCCGGTCATCATCTTTCAAAATAAAAGCCGAAAGGAACTACGATTGTGTAAAACAAACAAATATGAATATATATTTTTTGCAGGTGAAAATGCAGTTGTTCTCGTATTCAGAAAGAATAACTCCAATGCACCTAATAGAGGCCTCTCACACAATGCTCTGTAAAACAACAAAATTGATTGAGTTGGTGTCTTATTACTGGATAATGTCAATACACTCAGTTGCCAGTATAATAAGTATACCTAGTTCAAACTAATGCAGTCCCTTACAACAGCCCTACCTAACATTACCTCAAACTACAGCCGCAAATGTGACCATAAAGTGCTCAAAATCAGCTCCAAGAAGAACTTAATTAAACCTACATGAAAGTGTGCTTTATTGCAGAGCTGGTGTATTTAGCTAGGCATACTTCCAAGGGTGTAATTTCTGCTCTGGATGTGAGGGCCATGACCCCTCACCTTTCAAAATCATATTTTCCTTATCTTTTTTTTTTTTTTTTTTTAAATCACTTTAGCGCATATTTGTTTTGCATCTCAGGCTACATACAGGCAGCCCTAACTTCCTGGTGGAGGTTGATATGGCTTCATGCAGCCTGAGCGGAATGACTGCAGGCATGTTTTTCAGGTTTAAAAACTATTATGTGAACTATATTTTTATTTACAGTTGCTATTCTCATCAAAAGTGCTTGAGTAAAACATCAATCAAAAATAAAGGCAGCAAAGGGTTCCTTGTTGTGAAGATGCCAGTACATCATCATCTATTCTGGTAAGGAAACTAAACATGATTTGAAGTAGGCTGGCTGCCTCAACAATACAGCAGAGGGTAACATACAAATTCTATTAATTTATTGTTTATATAAAAAATGATATGGAACAATTTTATTCATTTTTTCTTAAGTGCTAGATTGATTCAAGTGTACTTAAAATACAGGTTACACACACACACTCACTGCTGGAACCAAACTTACACTCATTTAGTACACATTGCAGTGTAACCATTGTACAGAGGGAGAATATTTTTATGTGACTTTTTATTCCTCCCTCAGGGTATTTTTTAGATTAATTAGTAAACCAGCGAGATCCTGATGCAGCTCGTCTCACAATCAACTTAGTTAGTAGATGACGACCTGAACAATAGTCACACATGTGACATATAGGCCATTTGCTGCATACAATGCCACATCTGCTCTTTTCTTTGAAGATTTATGCTTTATTTCCTAAAAACATATTAAACATTTTTATGGCCGAACGCTAAAGCCTTTATTTTTAAGGCCAACTTGTTCAACTTCCTGCATTTGTCTGTGTCACTGAGGGTGACTTGACAGAGCTGCATGTGCATACCTTCTGACTTCCAACATGATGTCATGCCCATAAACTTGCTCTGCATGTCCTTCTGTGTAACTCTAGTGATCACCACAAACAACCAGGAGTAAGAAAAATAGAGTCGACAAAAGTCAGCATTGCATTACTTCAATTATTTTTGTGTATATAATGCTTATTCAAATATGAAAGTAGTTACCAATCGTTTTTCTGTCATTCAGTTCATCGACTAAGTACTGCAGCTCTAAGTCACAGTAATCCTACTGTACATTATCAAAAGTGTCAATACTGTGCCTTAAAACATTTGTTTACACATAGCGCATCCATTTATTAACAAAGATGTTTAGATAACACTGCCCAGTTAATGTCTTAACTGAGGTAATCATAAATTACGACATTTATCCAAATAAATTCAACATTTATTTATTTATTTATTTATCAAAATAATTAAATTAATTTCAAAGCTTTTTGTTGCCTCTTTTGTACCTAAGATATCAGGTGGCAGCTGATATCTTTTAGATTATACTTAGTTATAGTAAAAAGTAAAATTATTGCTTAAATGTAAAAAAAAAAAATAATAATCCTCTTGTCTTAATACAACAAGAATTAAAGTGTTTGTATGTATGTATGTATATATATATGTGTGTGTGTGTGTGTGTGTGTGTGTGTGTGTGTGTGTATATATAATATATATATATATATATTTTTTTTTTTCCCAAGAATTCTGTAATAAAGTGACGATGTTTAGAGGAGTGATCTGTATTGTAATTTGATACAAAAACACTCATAAATTGTCAAAACCTGCAGTAGAATCAAGCTGGTTTAAATGAAAGGCATTTGAACACTTTTAAATTGTGTTTAGATGCATATTTTATATCTGATACATAGATTTTGTTTTAGACACTTATATTTGTTTGAAATTATATTTAACCAATTGTTAACTCACGGCTATTTTACATGACAACATAATTGGCACATGTTGGGCTGGATTAACTATACTACAAGGCACCATAACATACTGGGATAATGTAATCTGTGACACTGATGGGGTTGTGGCCCCACAGACAAAGGCCACTAGACACAAGCATACGTTAATGAGAGGCCAGTAGGGACGCTATCTGATCTCCAGTTGGCTATTGTTGTGTGTGCATGTGCCGGTTCATGCCCGTCTCGACACTTAATAATCACCTTTTGTACTTGCATTCCCTTTGTGTTTACATTCCTGCGTTAAAATGCAACCCTCTCGTCTTGTCTTTCAGCCATGGAGAGCCTAGTGCATTACAGCAATCCCTCCCATGCCCTGTCAGTGTTGGGGGTTCTGAATGAGCAGCGCCTGCGGGGCCAGATGTGTGACGTAGTCCTGGTTGTGGCGGACCAGAGGTACCAGGCCCATCAGAGTGTTCTGGCCGCCACCAGTGAGTATTTCCAGACCCTGTTCACGCGGACGGACGCAGAGTCGCTGAAAATTGTGAACCTGGACTTCTGTGAGCCGGACGCCTTCGAGATAGTTCTGAATTACATTTACTCCTCCTCTCTATTTGTGGACAAAGGCAGCCTGGCAGCCATTCAAGAGCTTGGCTACAGTCTTGGAATCCCTTTCCTCACCAATATAGTGTCAACAAGGCCCCATGCATCCTACTGTGTGTCTAGAAAAAGGCTTTCGTTCTCAGAGGGCGATGAGAACGACGTCCAGACAAGGAGCGTCATTGTGCGTCGGGTCCGGAATGACACAACACATCCCTCTCGCTCGAATTATCAGAGAAAAGCATCAGAGAGATCGTCTCCTCCCCACTCTGCTCGAGAGTCCGCTCTGCCTCCATCGGAGCACAACTCGTATGAATCTCTCAGAAACTCCGAATCCATCAGCAGGAAATCATCGGAGCAGAGTGATGCTGCTGAGAGGAAGCCCACCTATCCGTACGCCTCCATATTAAAAGGGAACTCGTCGCACATTGCATCCGTTCGGCCCCAGCTGACATCATCGGTGTCTTTCAGTGATGTGGAAGTGCAGCACACCAGGCTGCAGTCTGGCACTGATCAGGACACCAAAGAGGAGGATGAAGAGCTGCAGCCCCACTATCACACCAAAGTGCCCTTCCGGGGTCAGGCCACTGAGCCGAGCCAGACCATCGACAGGAGCGGGCCGCTCATAAAAAGCCTGCTCCGAAGATCGTTGTCCATGGACAGCCCTGTTCCGGTCTTCTCGCCCACGCTGGAGCTCAAGGGGCTGCACAACCGTGAACAGTCGGTTGTTAAAATGGCGTCAAAGGCATCTGGGCCAGAAACATCTGCTCACAATGGCGATTCAAAAAGGACTTCTCCCCTGGTTCTCAGGTCAAAGTACCCCAGCAGGTATGATGAAAATACTCAGGTAGAAAGAGAGTACAGTGTGAAAGCTGAGCCCAGCAGTCCACTCGCTGACCCCATGGACATTATTCGAATCACAGTTGGAGAAGCGTTGCCAGTCAATCTTAGAGACTTTCAAACAAATTACGAGCAAGATTCCAGGCCAGACTTCAATCCCTTTGGGAAAAGGAAAGATAGGCCGGACAACAGAAGGTACCCATTTAAGAAGAACAAAACATTTAAGGAACATACCCTTTCATCTGATGAGAACGTGTCAGAAACAGTACCTCAGAGTGCCGGCAGCGACTCCAATGAAAACAGCGGGGAGCCGCCGCAGAACAAGATTTTCAAATGCTGGAACTGTTTGAAGGTTTTCAGGTCCAGCGCTGGACTACACCGCCATGTAAATATGTATCACAACCCCGAAAAGCCGTATGCTTGCGACATCTGCCTCAAGCGCTTCCATACCAACTTCAAAGTGTGGACTCACTGCCAAACCCAGCATGGTGTAGTACAAAACCCAGCGTCGTCCTCCAGCTCCTCTGTGCTGGATGAGAAATTTCAAAAGAAGCTGATAGATATTGTGCGAGAGCGAGAAATCAAGAAAGCCTTGCTTTGGAAGTTGAAGAGGAATAAGCAGGGTCTGCAGGCTCCTGCACTCACCAAGAAGAGATCAAGGCCCAGCTTCATATGTCCTTACTGTGGGAAAGTATTCGTGTTCCAGTCTCAGTACAGACAGCATTTAAGAACACACCCTGCTGAAAAACCAGACGAGGACACCGAGAGCGAGAGCATCCTCTACCAGCAGCAGGATGAGAACATTCAGCAGATGAACACGGACGCCGGCGTTTACTCCTGTAGACTCTGTAACATGAAGCTGTCGTCACTCTTCGAGCAGGGCGACCACGAGAGGGGCTGTCGACACGCGACCGTGTGCCCCTACTGCGGCCTCCGCTTCTCGAGTCCAACGGTCAAGACGGACCACGAGGCTCATTGTAAGTACAAGAAACTGACGTGCCTGGAGTGCATGCGGACCTTCAAGTCCTCCTTCAGCATATGGCGCCACCAGGTGGAGGTCCACAACCACAACATGATGACAGTTAAAGACCAGATTCACCTGAGGCAGCAAGAGAACAACGAAGAGGCGTCCGAAATGCTCGGCGAGGAGCATTACAGTGACGAGCCTCTGGTACCCGGGAGCTCGAGGGAGGTCATCACTTACAGCGACTCCTCGGGTCCGCCCATGTACGATTCAGAAGACTCCTTGTCCTATGTGCCCGAGGACCTGAGCATGGGCCACCATGGCAAGCTGGTGGTGAAAGAAGAGCCGTTAGAGGAGGCTGTGAGTGAGATGGAGAACTCAGAGTCTGCCCAAGCAGGGCCCGAGGAAGCCGGAGTGTGGCCGTGCGAGAAATGCGGAAACCTCTTCAGCTCTCGCAAAGACCTGGAGCGTCACCAGGAGCTGCTATGCCACATCAAGCCGTTCATCTGTCACATCTGCAACAAAGCCTTCAGGACCAACTTCCGCCTTTGGAGCCACTTCCAGTCCCACATGTCGACTGCTAACGAGCCTGGAGCCAAAGAGATCGACAGAGACCCGTTGTCCCTGTCTCCCTCCCCGCCCGCGACCCCTCAAAGCTCCGACCGTCCCTCCCCACAGGCCTCCCTGCTCAAGTCCGCCCAGACGGCGCCGGTGGCCGCGGTGATGGCCGAGGAGTCCAGCAGCCCGGAGCCCTGCGGCTCGTCGGCGAGCAAGACGAAGAGGCCCGAGCTAGAACAGCAAGCCAGCGGCCACAGCCCTCTGTCGAGGTCAAACAGCATGGAGAACACAGGCGGCCCTCAGGAATCAGACACCCTCTTTTACCACGCTCCGTCTCTCTCGGCCCTGACGTTCAAGAGGCAGTACATGTGTAAACTCTGTCACAGGACCTTCAAGACGGCCTTTAGTCTCTGGAGCCACGAGCAGAGTCACAGCCACGTGTAAGCGTCAGACGAGTTGTGGTGGTGCACTTCTCTTGAGACAATACTTCGTATTAGAATGAACACACCTCAGCCTACAAAAGGAAGACTCTGAATGTATAGCTTTGTTTGCTTGCCTCCAATGTCATATATATTGAAGTGGCCATGTTCATTAGAGGTGTAAACGTGAATGTGCAATCAAGTGCTAGATCTCTCTGTGAGATGAGATGATTATAACTGTTTTATTTTTTCCTTCAAAATGAGCTATAAGCAGTTATCTATTTTAAAGCTCCTTTAGTTGTTTACTTGTATTTACCTATCTAGGTGTTTTTGAGAAAACAAAGTACAGAGTTGCACCAGGTGTACCGCGTTTACATCGGCAACTATGTACATTGTTTCCTCAGTGTGGAAACAGTGCTTCAAATTTGATGGAGGTTGCAGTTGAATTTAAAAGTTGTGCTTTTTGACCCTTCTGTCAGATCTAGTGAGCAACATCCCTGAAGATAATATTGGTGGCCTGAACAATGACTTTCAAAATGCACTTTGTATAACAGTTTGATTCTGTTAGAGGGGGGGGGGGCAGCAGCAGCCATTGTCCCAAATGTTCACTTGGGTGCTTTCACTGACTGAGGTTTTTAGGCTGCACAAGTCTAAATGATAAGCAGGCTCAGTAGTTTCGTTTCTACATGCTTAGCATTCCTCTGCATTCGCTCTCTCACATTTGAGTCTCTTATTGCATTTGCGTCATTTCGTGTAACGGGCCGATTGAATAAGACCATCGGTGTAATAAACAGTCACAAACTGTCCATGAAACGCACCTCAGACACCTGTTGTTTTAGGTTTGCATTCCAGGACGCAGCCTTGATTGATTGCGTACAGTCTCCATGCAGTTCTTTAACTTGTATTCCTTCCTACTAGCCTAGAGGAATATTTTTCTAAATGTATACAAATGAATGAGATGAGTGCAATCGTAACATTTGAAAAAGTTGTGTTTTTTCCCAAAGGTTAATGAATATGAATCATTTGTAAAAGGTGCTCAGACCAGCTTAGTAACAAAAAGGGGAAATTGTGAGTTTATTTGACAGTATCTTAAATAGTAGATAACATCATTCAAACTCTATGAATGTTTAAAAAAAAAGCACACTGCAGTGTGGTAATGCAGTTCATGGTTATACTGCAAGTAATAGAAATTAAATGAAAATTATAATTTGTTATATATTAGACATTGTCACAATTTCTGAATCACTAAAGTCCACCACCCCAGTGCAACGCCAGTGTGGTAATTAACCAAGCTTTACAATGCTTTAATGGCCTTATGCAATTTTGAAAATATTTTGTCAACATTATTTTACACGAAAGCACAACAGAGTTTCAGATGAGTTATGACTCAGGCTTTTCAAGAAGAGGGAAGCACGGGGAATCCGATATTTTCTATGAATGGTGAGAAAGTGTTCCTGCTCCCTAAAGATTTATTATTAACGGTTGTGTTGATTGTATTCCAGATGTTTCACAATTGTATTCTTGTACAAGTATATAGTTCTGCTTTGGCTTGATGGATTAGACCTTCGTCATAAGTTATTACTATTTGGGGAGATGTTGCATTCAAAGAGTGCTCCACACAAACTATGGGAATTTGTTTTCCTCTGAAACGCGAGCTGCATTGTGATGTTAAATACGTCAGAGAACTTCTGTATTGATAATAGTGCTCTTAATTTCTTGTGATAAGACTTTCTGAAAGTTTCACAGAAATGTTTAGAATTGTGTACATGGAAGTGTTTGTATCCTCGATTTTGTACCAATTTTGTTAGTAAACAAAAGTTTTATCTTTTTAGTATTCCTGTGCTCTCACTGCAATAATGAATATTTGTATCAGCATTGGTTGCATTATTGTTGCTTTTGGAAACTTGCAGCTGTTTTGTGTTTAGGTTTTTCTACAGTTTTTGTGCTTCATTTCTGTAATAAAGAGTAAAAATGGAGTATATATATATATATACACAACCATCTGTGGTATTCAAATTTTTCGGTAACCATTATCCTCAGCTCATTTAAAGCTTAATCAAAAGTACATTTGCAGGACTTTTCATAACCTTTAGTGAGCTTGTTTACTGCCGCTAAAGGGGATGCATCATTAAAAACCCACGTTTTCAGTACTTGTGCACATACACGTGGGTATCTGAAGTGCCTACCAACCAGTCAGTTTTTTGTGGACTGACTACCTTTGCAAAGGTGCACTATATTGCACTATATTTTTTGCTTAAGCCAATCGGAACAGACTAGCCTTTTGTTAGGAGGGAGGGGGCTTAAAGAGACAGGCACTGAAACAGAGCGTTTCTGACAGATGCAACTATTTTCAGACAGTTTCTTTTTCTTTACATTAAATCATGTAAACGTGTTCTATGAGAAACCCAAAACACAGGTATGAATGTGGAATTGAGAATGACATGTCCGCTTTAACTGTGTCTTATTTGAATACCCTTTACCCTGATGCACTACATATACACTTTCATGATTTACTGCATCTTCTTTGTCACCACAACTAGGATTTAGTGATACACAAAAAGAACATTTTTGCCAGGTATGCCTTATATATGTATATAAACAGCCCGTCAATGTGACTGTGCTTGTGAAGAACAATACAGCTCGTCTACCTGTGTAACTAAAGTAAGTGAAAACGGACGCACACGTTTTCCAGTTGGCAGACAACCCTGAGCAAGAGGGATGTTTTTCAAGCTGGGGGCCACGGTGACAATTTCTGGCTGGAAAACTGGGGAGTGAACTAAGGAGGTGTTTGCTTTAATTTGGAAAAATGGCAAACTGGAAATCCTGTCCTACCCATGTGCGAGGTCACACTCCATGAAGCTGTGTGCAGAGAGGAAGTTTTGACATAGATGAGGAAATCTGCTCGCAAACTCAGCCATATCTTTTTCATAAAGAAAGAAAATAAATTCTCTCTGCCAGCAGTTTCCATATCAGAACGCTGGGATAGGTTTACAGAATTGATCGTTAGTTTAAAAGAGCTGTGACTGTTGACTATAAGTACCACCAGTTACAATGAACATTTATTGTCAAAGATGAACAATAACTTACAGATTTGACATTATCAGCACACAATGAAAGAATTGAACTGATATATTGTGTTATTTGCTACTGGGTTGAAGTTACATTCCTAGACGGTGAAAGACATTTTGAGAAAGCTTGCAAAAACAAAATGTGTTTTAAATCAGCATTATATAATCAAGATTCTTAAAAGGTACAAGCAATACCGAAACCACAGCAGAGACATCAAACTAACTTACTGATTAGGCGCTTACACTGACACTGCTTCGTTGTAGCAGAAGTACAGCTGTCAAATTTGTGTTTCTGAACATTAAAAAAAGAGTTGTAAAGCATCACTATAAATACAGTTATGGATTAAATCGTCCAGATCTTTCTGCTCTCTGTCTTGGAGCAAATCCTCACAGTGCCAGGGTGTCTTTGATCAGCCTTCTCATTGTCGTGCTTACAGAGGTGCCCAGAGAGTCTGTGATCTGGAATGTGATTTTGTAAAGGTAGGGCTGGACATCTTTGAGACTGGTGTCGAATACATTGTCCACTTCGGACTGGGTGGGCATCTTTGGCAGGTACTCGTGGCGGTTTATGACCTCGACGACGTTGATCACCTTCTCGCCCAGCTTCTCGCCCACTTTCTCCCTGCAGATCTGTCTCTCCTGCTCATTGGCCAGGTTGACAACGTTGACCTTGATGCTCCACACTTCCCAGGGAATGCACTCGTCAGAAAAGGGCCAGCGAGACTTCTTCTTCTGGTAGAACTCCAGGGAGATTTGCCCCATGCCATCGCTGCCGGAGTTGCTCAACGCATCCTGTAAACAAAGCATGTGATGAAGTCGTGAATTTATAGGCCCTGCAGCAGTATTACAGACAACAATCACACGTTGAAACCACCAATTACCTTGAATTCAGACACAGCTTTCCGGATCACTCTGTCCAGCTCCTCGGAGGACACCCTGACGAACGTGAAATCGATGAAGTCGCAGTCGAAGTCCAGTGTGCCCACGGTACCTATGGAGTAGGTGCCCTCCTTTTTGTAGTGAAATTTCCCGGAGCTGCGATGCAGTAAAATGGTGTGCAGCAAAGCCAGCATCGCTTCTTCCACCTGCCTCGCCTCCACCGTTACTTCAAGAACCTCTGAGCGGCAATTCATAGCGAAATGATTGTTATTTCCATGTACATGCGACAACTTGAGTTGGGTGACGATGGCTGCTGTGTAGCAGCTTGATCGCGTTAGGTGACAAAGATATACTTTGTTTACCTCTTCGGATGGGCGGAGCCTATCCCACACATCGTATTACATTATATTAAAAACACGATAGTAATTTTCAGAAAGGCTAACCTACTTCCAAATGTATAATGTGCGAACCGATTACATTAACATAGAAACAAAGGCTAGCTAGCTAGCGTTACGTGTTTGCTACAAACGGGACAGGACGATGTGGTAATGATGACAGCCATCTACGGCAAGTCGCGAGGTTCGGTAGACTGTTTTTGGAGTCGTTTCCTCCTCAACTGCGTCTTTTTTATGTGTCTAATGTATTTGTAAAATCACATTGCTTCTTGACAGCACACAACAGAGTTTATAGATACCAAAACTTGTCCTCAGTTTGTTCATACGTTAGTTTCGCGCGACCAGCACACAACAAAAAACTCTCGCAAACTGTCGCTGTGCATTCTGGGACTTACAGTTTGTGCCACATATCCGTTTAGAAACGGCAACTTTGTACAGTCAGGCTGAGCCGCAAAGCGAGTCCAGCGTGACAAATGCACCCTTCTCTGCCAGGATGTGTCCTCGGGACTCTTGTTCAACGTCTGGCTATCGTTCGGTGGAAGTAAACCGCAGACTTTGGAAATAATTCATATTTGGGGAACTTTGGCGGCTCCATAGCCAATGACGAATAGCTAGTTAAGCGAACCGTGGCGAAGATTAGCTAACTGGGCTAACAACCGTATTCAGCGAGAGGAGGAGAGCGCGTTTCTGCAGTTTATTTGAATCCATAGACTACATTTAACTCTTTTTACAATGCTTTAGGTCTCTTTAACCAGCTCGAGTAGTTTGTGACATCTCATATCGCTCGTTAAAGCTACTATCGAGTCCTGCAGCATGGATCCCAATAAGCACAACTTGTTCTGGGGGTTGAGATCTGTGCTGCTGTCAGCTGTGAGCGATCGCTTTCATTGATTTCGCCGGTCCTTGATCAAATACAGAGTATGAGGTTGCCCGGATATTTCTCAGAGGAGGTGTGTTAAACTTTAATCATCGTTCTCATCTGCAAAGAATGTCCGACTTTGGAAGTTTCAGTTCATATTTCGGTTTGAAGGATCCGCAGTGGCTATGCTTGGTCACACTTTTCTTCGCGTCTCTGGTCACCCTGATACTGTATTTCGTACAGTATTTCCAACAAAGGGGTGTAGGAAACAAGCGGACAGCAGCCGAGGACAATGCGGCGAAGGAGGAAGCCGCGGCTCTGCTGGGATGGGCGCTGTCACTGAGAAGCTGGAGAAGTCAGTGGAGAGGAGCTTGGTGCAGGGCTTTGAATGAGCGATCGAGGAAGAGTGGGGTAAGTCTCGTGACCACTCTGCTCTGTGTAATAAAAGTGCAGCTTGTCATTGAATGTGACTGTAGAAATGACCTGGAGTGAATGTCATTTATGCTCTCTTCAATCAAATCCCACCTCATTCCTTTGACATGAAACAAAACACTACCACTCGACTCTTTTTAATTTACACTCGATAGTGTAGTATGTGCACCTTCTTGCCCCACCCCTGACCTATTAGCGTTTCTTTTTTTATTACGCAGTGTTATCAAGTCAGAACGCATGCAATGACGTTGCCAATGTGATGCATCACAAGCTCATCATTTATTAGGCAACAGCTTCATTTTTCCTTCGAGTTGCGTAAAAGGCGTTTTGCTGCTGATTTCATGTTTCCATCATCTTCCCCCAACAGGGTCCGCTTCTGTTGACGTTTGAAGAGGATGACCTCGAGGCGTCGGAGCTCACGGTCAGCCAAGTGTCCAGCTTTCAGAAGTCTGCCGGAAACAAGGTACACTGATCATAAAGTCTTCTAGTAATACAGAGCGGCGTTTTTCTGGGAGATATCTGGATCAATATATCCTGTGTTTAGTGCAGATGCAGTGTCCTCCTCCTCCCAACCACCGGCAAGATAACAGATTTATTTTGTCATGGCAGCGTCGGCATTCATTTGGGTTATAGCAGCAGCAGACACTATAGATTTCTAAATTCCTCTTTATGTACTTTATTGATAAAAGTTGTCCTACAAATCAATCTCCCCTACTCTTATTCAGTGGAGAGGGAGCTACTCTCCCACCAGTGCTGCATTTTAGCCTGCAGTGGCCAACATTGAGTCATCACCTGGCCAACTTATGTCCCCCATTCATTTAGATTTGGCAAATGAATCTGCTCAGCAATTTTTCACAATGTCCACATGCATATTACAGAAATCACAGAACTCAATGAACGAACACTTCTGCTTAAAGGAGGCTGGTATGATGCACCTTTTTTTATCAGTCATACAGATGTATGTACAGCAGACCGTGTGTAAAACAAACTGCCACCGGAGGACTTTTATTTTTTCAGAGAGGTCAAATAGGGACAAATTGCTCGCTGTGTTGCTGCCCCCGGTTGGCTTTGCACTGCTCCCGATGCAAACTCAGCCCTTTCTTTGTGACGATCACGATGTGGAGCAAAATACCAGGTGCTCTGTTGTTGAATGCGGGGAGTTTAATGAACAGAGGCTTATTTTTGCCCACACGATGTGTGAGTGTGCGCTAGAGCTCTAAGAAGCTTACATAGCTGTCAAGCTCAGCAGCGAGGAGGAGCAGGCAAACAGGAATGCACAACGCTTAGGTTTCCCCTCACGGTGATCTAATACCCAACAGGACACAAACACGCCCGTCCTCCACTGAAATCCCAATGAATAGATGTGTTTCAAGGAAGAGGACACTTATGATTCTGTGGTAATTCACTCTGTTCCAGATGCATTCCATTGCAGGGAAAGTGATTTATTGAATCTGCTGATAAAGCGAGTACAGATGTTTGTCCTTTTTCACAGTTCAGGCATGAACCTCATCTAAGGCAGATGTTTTGCCTCTGGATCAGTTTAAGCTAAAGTGACGACAGACATACAGCACCTTACAGTTTAGTACACATTCTAGTGTTTCATGGTATAACTACATGTGAGTCACATGCAAATGCTGTCACGGCTTTAGCTCCGGCGTTCTCAGTGTATTTACATTACGCTATCGCCTCAATTTGTCCTCCCAACAGGCCGCTCGCTGCAGTGTGGTCGGGGAGCAGCTTCAGTTCTCTCTCGGTGCATCAACAACAGCCATGGCTACAGCAGGTCCTTGTAAATACACCGTCTGTATAGCTCCACTGGAGCTGCAGGTAAGTGCTCTTTAGTCTGTCCCAACGCATCTATTAAAGTTGCGAGTGTCGAGAAAGTAAGCAATACTCATATTGGTTTTTTTTATGTGCGTATCCCTTTAACACTGTCTGAAAACAGAGTCCCATCCTTTAGAAGTCGCTGTGGTTTAGTTTAATGGGAGATTTTATTGAACGCGATGTGCCGCCCAGCTCTGGCTCACTGCTGGCAGGAGTCTTCGATGAAATGGCTGGGATGTCTTTCTGTGCTTGGCAAATGACCCGAAGACCTCATTAAAATCACTGTCAGGCCCGTTTCCAGTGCGGCTGCCCCACTTTGTCTGCATTAATATTTGTCAGAGGCCCGTACGGGATTGATGAAGGTATGACACATATTACTGCCATGCTCTTACCTGGAGATTGCAGCGATTTCTTTTATTTATTTATCATGCCCCAACCTGACTGGACTCATTGTCTGAGTAAAACATTACAGGCTTCAAATGAAGCGAGTCAACGGTGATGTTTAGCGGGTCGTGTACAGTAAGCTTTCATCCTGCTCTTCGTTTCAGGGTTAAATCTTTACCAAAGTATGGATACAAGTGGCTGTCCAAGCTAACCCAATTGTGCTAAGGCTATTTTTAAACCAATAAGGTGCTTGTCTCCCCAGCTGAACTCATTGTGCCATAAATACAACCTGAGTGAGTGAGAGACTTGAAAGCTGAAGTCGGGATTAGAGTCGGGCCGGTTTTGTTTTGGTTGCGGATCAGTTGTTGTGGCAGGAACATAAAGGAAGCCTCTTGTCTCCTTTTCACTCTAATTCTTTCAGCTTAGTCTGGAAAAGTCGGAGAGCCCTTTTCAAATGTCTCCATCCATCCGTCCGCTGGAACAGTTGTTAGCTTTTGACCGGGCTTCCATGCTAGAATGGTCCTGGCTCATGCTGTTATGAGTGCCGGGATGTGTGGACCAGAAGTCCCCGGGCATGTATGGTCTCTGGACACAATAACAACACCCAGTGCACTGCGGTGTGCTGTTGAGTGTACTTTGTCTGTTACCACACTATTGCACCACATGGCCTTTCGCATGTGACGAGGGACACGCATGCCACGTGTGTGTCGTCCCAATGCGGTAACACCACATTTAAATGTCTGTTGTAGGACTTCACAACAGGCACTTCTCTCTAGGGGATATGGAAATACTTGAATGATTATTTTATATCTTTTAATAAGCAGCTTCTCTGCAAACTGTTTCCGTTCTTCAGATCATGTGGTTGGAGCTGTATTATTATGCCAACATAGCCTTCCACACAAAGCTGTTAGCATGAACTGATCCGGGTCTCATCAATGCAGCTTGTGATATTATTCGGCCGGATCCATCAAAGCGTTCTCATTGTTAACTGATGAGGCCTTTGTTTGGCATCACAGAGGCGGTTGTTCAGTCTACCACTGGAATCCAGGCATGCTGGGACAGGATGGCCCAGTCTGTTTTCTGTCTCCCTCTTTTACTCTCTTCTTCTTTCACTTTGTCTCTCACGTGAGCAAAGTGTTGATGGGCACCTCGCTGACCTCCTCTTCTGAACCGTCTTCCTGTTTGTCAGGCTGACTAGAGAAGCATCGCATAGTGTTTGTTGTAGAGAGCAGGGTGTCGGCCACGCCATCGCTGTTATTCTTCAGATTGAAATTGGAAATAAGTCATGAAAAAGGTTTTATTATACTGGTTGAGATGTGATTATAAGAGAAAGAATATAGTTATATAAAACAAAGAAAATGAACCAAATGTTAATGTAATCAATGATATCCAAGATCAACAAATGAATCCCATCTAGAGATTGCAGCTGTAGAATAGATTGAAGGAAATAATGTATTCAAGATATGACAACGTTTTAATGAGCCTGACATTGCTTGTTGCCTTTGAAGTTGGTCAACAAATTAAAGCACGACACAATTTGGTAATGTGCTGACAATTTAAGGCTTAATAGCTCGATATTTGACCATTCAAGTCATCTAACAACTTAACCATAGCAACAGAGCATCATGACAGCAGGTAGAGCTACAGAACAGACGCAATGATAACCGGATGCTTTTTTGTTTTCCTCGGCCTTTTAAGGCTTTTCGAGCCAGCTGCCTTCTTTGGAAAAGAATTGGCAACACTGCCTCGTGTTTCCACAGTTACTTTGGTTCTTCGACTATCTGCCATTCTGCTACTGGGGAACTTTACTGCAGTGAACTTCCACTCATACTCTCTGGTAACTGGGGAGAGCTACCGAAAGCTAGCTGGGAATACAGAAGCGCTATCCTCTTCCTGTTTTGGTTGCGCAATGGTTGATGCACTTCCTTCCTTTTCCCAGGAGATCGCACCCGGTGCAAAGTAAAAGTGAGGCTAAAGGGAACCAATCTAAACACTGATGGTGTCATTAGTCTACAGCCGTTACATCGAGCAGACAGAGATTCCTTTCAGATTAAGTTAAAGCAGAAACCTTTCTTTGCCACTTTATTCAACATCCTGAAACTATGTTCTAAATGTTTCATGATATCCAGAAAATGAGTCCTGATATTGTAAATGCCAGTTTTATGTCATTTTAATTGAAATATCACAACAGATACTACAGTGTGTGATTTCTGCTTTTCTCTCATCTGTGTTCCTCAGCTTGACCTGCAGATGCAAGAAGCTGCAGATGTGGTCACGGTGAGCTGGGGAGTGTCTCACCTGGAGACGGGGGAGCTGCAGGTGAAGCCCACTTTCACCCAGGTAATTCAACAGTGAGATGTTCCTGTCGTCAAGATTCTATCAATACTGTATATATTTTTTATTTGACCCTCTACAAAGGAGATTATGTTTTTGGTTTAATACCACCATTGTGCTTTTGATATGTGGGACATGTCTGATCATCATGTCTTTTTCTGTCAGGTCAACGCCAACACCTCCAGTGTGGCGGCCATACAGGAGCAGTTGAGGCAGCTGCTGTGTGCGACGCGTCCCTCGGTGTTGCTGAGCTGCCGGCCTGCTCAGGCCTCAGAGGCCAAGGTGAGCGGAGGAGTCTCTTGATTCTTAACATGTTCAGAGCGTCCTCACGAGAAGTGTGTGCAAGTTTGTCACACCATGTCATAGTTTAAAATAACGTGAGGGGTTGCTCATAGTGAATCCGCAGCTCTCTGGCTTTTTTATAGTAAGTTTCATCGCCCGAGGTTGAATCTATACTTTTACACCGAGGTTACTCAAGGCAACTAATCTGATTTATTTTGATGCAACGCAGATGCTTCTCGAGGGTTATTGCATTCATGTTAAACCCACTAAGCCACTGTGCCTCCACACAAATGTCAAAGATTCATAATGGGAGCATGTGATCGTGGTCACCGCATGCATAATTAAAGCCTGCGCTGAAGTGGTGTAGTGAGTTTATTATGCTGACACACATTTACACACATTTACACACGTTTTTTCTGATGTGCTCTTTGCCCAGCCATCACAGGATGTCATGTGTTCCTGATTTGATCACGTGTCGTACGTTCAGTGTCACAGATGTTGACAAATGCTTCGCAAGTCAGCCGAGCCCAAAGTGGTCCCTCGGAATGTTCTATTATTCCAAATGTTTTGAATTTTTCAAAACATGTGTATGATTGTTTGTTCTTTCGAGGTTCAAACAACGACTTCTAATGCGAATTCTATCGAGCACAGAATATTATACATACTCTACACATTAACATTCCCGGGATGCTGAGACGAGCTGGCAGAAGTTGTTTAAAGGGGTACTTTGCTTACATTGTTGCTGTTAATATTATGGCCAGTAGATCAACGTTGTTTAATTATTCAATCACTGTGGTTTCTCCAATAGGAAGCGGGCAACAACATCCTTTCACCCCCAAAACCCCCCCGTGCCCACGACTGGAAGCTGCTGGTGAAGAACATCCGAGTGACACTGAATCAGGAGGAGGATGCTGCAGGTTGGACGCTCTTGTTCTCAGAAATGTACCGGTGGTCAGATGACACGGCTGTAGCTAGGGTCCTTATTCTGTCCTGATGTTAACCAACATCAGTCCCCTCACATCTGCATCACAGTCATGTCTCCGGTTTGTTGTAATCAGTTTACACTCATGACAGAGCGGGATGTAAACATTAACAGCGATCTCCTGTGAGCGGTAACTTTAGCTAGCTCGGTGGTGCTAGGTGAGCTAGCAGTATCGATGCACGCAGACATCGTTACGCCCGATATCTCCAACCCGTGGCAACTCACACCAAAACAATGTGGATTGATAAATAGCACTGTAGGGCGGAGGAAGAACATGTTTATTTAGATTCTGGGTTGAACTCTTTCTTTAATACTGTGCTGCTTCTGTATTCCGTAATTGTATTTCAGGACTTGATTCAACTATTTTAAAATGGGAGTAACATACATTCTGTTATCGCTCATCAACATTGAGTTTATCACACTTGAAGGACTGCTTCTGCCTTGCCTTTTGTTTATTTAGCCAACATGTGATACCGAGGCTCTCCAGATAACGAGGCAGAGACCGGTTTGCCCGTTGGCTGTCAAAAGTGGTAATCTGATTCTTAAAGCTGAACAATGCTGTCAGTTCATTAATAATACACCTTCACTAGTGTCACTACACCCTGTGTTGGCATGCACAAGAATTATGATCAGAGTGAAAAGAAGGTGTTGTCAGCCATGACACCAGAGGGCAAGATGTCCTGAGTCACGAGAGGCTGTTCAATCATTGTTCAGACTTAGACCTGAACATCATCCACAACAACAGCGTCTTTGTCGAGTCACTCTCTAGTTGTGAGTCAGCGGTTTTCAGGACTCCAGACATCTTCTTAAGTATTGTGCCCCAGCTCTTGATAATGCACAGCAGAGACACAGCGTTCAACACCTCATTATCTGCTTTCCGTCCTGTGAGTGAAGGGCAGTTATACTTCGCTTCACTTGTGAGACTTCCTGCAGACTAGCCCCAGAAGCCAGATCTAGAGCGGCTGCAGCGGACGCTCTGTCTTTGAGGCTTCTGCTGCTGTTGTATTCATTAAGACACAGTGCTTTCACAGTGTTGAAACCTGACTTGTGGCTAATAAAGTTCCGTTTTTAAGCGCTCCATAATATTAGGTTTGTGCTGGGGAAGAGCTCTCAGTCAGTACTTTGAGTCTCCTCTAAACTATGCATAATTCATCATAT